AAAAAAAAAAAAAAAAAACAAACATGTATATAATTTTAATTGAGTTTCTTTTAGCTTAAACATTCGAGGAGAAAAAAGAGAGAGAAAGAGAGAGAGAGAGAGAGAGAAAACGAAACGAAAAATAAAATAAAAAAATAAAATAAAAATAAAAAAAACTCCACCTCTTCTCCCCATCGTTTTCGAAACGCTTTTTAATAATTCAAAAACTTTAATATTAAAACGTTCACCTGAACTTTACTTAATTAAAACAACAACAACCGAGTGAGTGAGTGAGTGAGATAGATAGAGAGAGTGAGAGAGAAAATAAAAAAAAAATCGTATACATACATACATGCGAGAAAGAAATGAATTTGTTTGCGTTTTGTACGTGCGTGCACATACGACGTTTGTGCGTGTGTGTGAGTGAGTGAGTGCGTGCGTGCGTGCAAAACAAGTAAATTACAAACTCTTGTTTGCAAACACACACACGACACACGACAAAGAAGCCAACAAGTAATAATAATAATAATAATAATAAAACGTTAATATTATTAAACTAAAAAAAAAAAAAAATGGAAGGAAAATTGAAAGGAAAATGGAAGGAAAATTCATTTACGCTCTTGATAAAGTTTTTCCTGTCTCGTGTGCGTGTGTGTGTGTTGAGATGCGTGCAACGTCAAAAAAAGATGTTTGTAAATGAAAATAAAAATAAAAATAAACAAGCGGAATGAACAAGCACGCAAAATCTCTCTCTCTGCTCTCCTCCCTCCCCTCCCTTCCACTTCCCCTCCTTTGCCCCCCCCGATTTCCCTTTTCCCCGACGAACGAAATCGGGAATCATAAAGAGACAAACAATTTACCAATTCAAATAATTAATTAATTAATAATAATAATAATCGATCAATCGAATTAATACGATAGGAAGAGTAGAGAGTCCCCCCATCCCGGAGAAAGAGAGAGAAAGATAGAGAGAGAGAGAGAGAGAGAGAAAAGGATTAATCAGGATAATGCATATACGTTTAATATAAATCATTCGATATAAAAGAAAAAAATTTTCAAACGTATAAATAAAAATCCAATGTAAAAAAAAAAAAAAAAAAAAAAGAGTGTAAATTTCATTTTCGTTATTAAATATTAAAACAATTCAATTCGGTAAATTGATTTCGAAATAACAAGAAAATGTAGAAAAAAAAAGGAAGAGAAAAAAAGGAAAAAAGGAAGAGAAAAAAAGGAAGGAAAAATGGAAACTATTAACAAAATCAAACGTAATATATTTTTTTTTTTAATTTCATCCCACGTGGAAATAGAAAAACGTCATTTCGATATATTTCGATATTTTTCTACGTAATAGCAGAAATAAATTTTTTTCTTATTTTCTTTTTCGAATTTGAAAAAAAAAAAAAAAAAAAACTGTTATATAGGAAAGGAAAATTTCTCTCTTCTCCCTCTCCCTCCCCAAAAAAAAAAAAAAAAAAAACCAAAAAAATTTTTCATCCTTTATTTACCGGCCGACAAAATTCTCTCATTCATTCCCCCTCCTCCACGTCCTTCTTCCCAAACATCTTTCTCGCTCATTTTTCACCATCCATTTTTCTTTTTCATAATAATAAAAGAGTAGAAAAAAAAAAAATAGAAAAAGATGAAAAAGAGACAGACAGATAAAAAAAAAAAAAAATGGATGGAAGAAATTTGTGGTGGTAAAAACATGACGATTAGAGTTCTTATCCCAAACTAACACGTGACACGACAAACAACAACAACAACAACAACAACAACCCTTTTAACATCGATTTTTCCACTTCTTCTTCTTTCCATCATCATCATCTTCGACATCATAACAACTTAGAAATCGTTTTAAAGTACAAACCGAATTTTCCCACACAAACCTTTCGAAAACGTTACAAAGGATCCATCCATTGTTGCCAATTCTCTCATTCATACTCGATGCCTCTTCCCTCCCCCTCCCCGGATTTACACATTCATACATTTTATCGACGCATTACAAATTATTTAATTAAACGAAATATATAATTAATTAATTAATTAATTAATTAATTACCAAATAAATCCACACCGCGTCACATTCGACGTGGCGGGGGGGAATGGGGGAGGGGGAAAATCGGGGGGAAATTATTTAAACTAATAATATTCGAGGAAAATAAAAAAATTATCCTCATCAATTTGGCTTAATGCCACTCTTAACACGTTTTAATCGGACTTGATTGTTTTTTTAATTAATTTTTTTTTTTCTCTCTCACTCTCACACGCACACACGCACTCTCTCTCTCTCTCTCTCTCTCTCACGTTAAAATATAAATACACGCATATCGAACCAACGCGTTTTCCTTCGGTGGATTATATTTTAGCATGACTGAACATTCATAACATTCATTAAAATCCCAAATTTGAATTTTTTTTTTTTTTTTTTTTTTTTTTTGAACACGAATCAATGATTATATAAATGTTTGTGTGAAAATGCGTTTGATAAAATCACAGAAGAGACAAAAAGAGAGTGAAACGGGGAGGAGGAGGGGGGGGAAGGGAAAAGGTACGACCTTTGAAAGGAACAAAAATAGAAGATCAAAAAAAAAAAAATAAATAAATAAATAAAACGGACGACGAAACAAAAATATTGTAACGATTTTTTTCCTTTTTTTTTTTTTTTTTTTGTAAATTACGTTATATTTCACTAAAAGCTCCTCGTTCCAATAGAAAAAAAAAAAAATTTTCCAGGTTGCGGTTTAGAAAATTGCAAATCGATAAAAAAAAAAAAAAATGAAAATGGAAAAAACAGCAACGACAGAAGCAATCATTTAAAAATTTTCATCCGGTTCGTTTGAAAAATTTTACCACCTCACTCTCGGCATTTTCCACCCGGGGAGGGGGACGGGAAAACTATATGAATGCGTGCGTGAATGCGCGTGCGCACAACCGACAGTATGGAAAAGTAATAATAGTAATAATAATAAAACAAGTGGCACGAAATGACCAAAATTAGATAATGATGTTTTCTCTAACGTTTTATTTTTATTTTTTAAACGCGAGTGTGAAACGTTTATCGGACAAACGAAAAATCAAAACAAACAAACAACAAACAGACAAACAATGCAAAAAAATAAAAAAATTTACGGATTAAGAAATACGAATTTTGCCCGGAGGAACCTTTTTTTTTAAAGGCATACCAACACAACAATTTAAAATTTTTTTAGTTTTTTAACATCCGGTAACGAAATTTGTATCGAACAAAAACTACATTTAAAAAAAAACACGTGACCCGAAATGATCATTATTTAAATAATGATAATGATAATGATAATAATAATATTAATAATCGTAACGACTTAAAGATCCAACCAAGTAAATCCGAGGAAATATACCAAAATTTTTCAAAAAAAAATTCATTCGCGCGCTTTCGAGAATCCATAGAGAATGAAAACGCGATTTTGAATCCAATGGAAAGTAGATCGAAAAAAAAAAAAAAAATGTTTTTGCCTGGTAGGAAAACATACCGGAAAAAATTTTTTTTTTTTTTTTTTTTTTTTTATTCGAGTTTATTTAAAACGCCGATATCAAAACCGTTAGTTAATTAATTAAATAACCTTTGTCTTCTTAACCTTTGAAATATAAAACCTGAACCTGTTTGTTTGTTTGTTTGCTTGTAAAATACAACCACCCTCTTGGATTAAATCCCGCCCGCCCGCCCGCCTCCCCATTTATTTTTTCGCGCAACGCAAATATATTTAAAAAAAAAAAAAAAAGTTCGTTATTTTTTTCCTCGTTATTATTATTATTATTATTATTATTATTATTATTATTATTATTATTATTATTATTATTATTATTATTATTATTTTAAATTTGAGGTGAAAATTCTCCAAAAAAAAAAAAAAAAATTCGAAAAAAAACGAAATAAATCCGACAGATATAATTAGATCAAAATAAAAAAAAATTAAAATTTATTACCAAGAAAGAAGAGAGAGAGAGAGAGACAGAAAGAGAGAGGAAAAAGGAGAGAAAACAAGATCTAGGAGGCATTGAAAAAAAAAAAAAAAAAATTAAAGCGACGACGACGCCATTTTGAAAACCCGAAAGCACTCAACTGATTTCCATTAGTTTTAAGCCATTAAAATATATTTAATTAAATAATAAATTTTTAACTAAATTTTAAGAGCGCGAGAAGGAAAGAAGATGAGAAAGAGAGAAAGAGAGAGAAAGAGAGAGAGAGAGAGAATGCGAAATAGAAAGAGAGAAAGAGAAAAAGAAAACGAAGCTCATTTCATTTTAACTAATAATAAATATATATGTGTGTGTGTGTGTTTACAAACCGAACATAAAAAAAATTATTGCCTAGAAAATATTTTGACGTTTTCGAACGCACACGCACGCACACACGCACACGCACACGCACACGCACACGCACGAAATCCGAAACGGTAAGTAACACAGATTAATTTTCATAATGGAAGGGCAAAGAAAAATTTAAAACCTGGAAAAACTTTAAAAAATGGATTTTTAATAAATGAAGGAACCGAAGAAAAAGTTTTCGACATTCATGAAAATTTTACCTCACGACTTTGTCTTTTAAGATTTTCCGAGCTTTCTAGCTTTTCCGACCAACCAACCAACGCATAAAAATCAATACCCTTATTTCAAATCTTACGACGACCTATCCTTACTTCGGGTCCACCCCCCCCCTATTTAACTCTCTCGATACTTTCGCCCCAAAACTTTTTTTTTTTTTTTTTTCGAAAAATAAAAATAAAAAACAAAATGACTCCATGAGAATGAATAATAATAATAATAAAAAGAGAAGAAAATTTAGAGGGCGGGCGAGAAAAGTGCGAGGGTAGGGCAGGGGAGGGGAGAGGAGGGGGAAGGGAAAACTATAAATTCCGCGCGTATAAAATAAAAATAAAAAAATAAAGAAAAGTCTGTGGAACGTTGATAAACTTCTCTCTTCGCTCATTTTTTATTCCGTCCTTTTATTATTATTATTATTATTATTATTTTTTCGAAAATTTTTAAAATTTCTCGTTCGGTATACGTTCGGCACGTTTGCCAACTATAAAAATTCGAAACGGCTCAAAACAATAGCAAAAAAAAAAAAAAAAAAAGGGTAAAAGGGCAAAACGAAAAGTTACAGTACCGGTTTTAGAATTCTAAAATCTCATTTGATATTTTTCTTTTGTTTTTTTTTTCAATTTCACTCTCAATCATTCAAGTTGAAATTTGTATTCATTAAAGAGAGATAGATAGATAGATAGACAGAGAGAGAGAGAGAGAGAAAATCATTACAAAGCAGCAAATTATTAACGGAGTCGAATTTGGAGCACGAAAAAAAAAAAAAAATTAAAAAATTCATGCTCTGAGGGTAGACGATAACCCGGTTTCTCTCTCTCTTGCGAGTAGTACGACTTAGTACCTAAACCTACCTGAATTTGTTGTCCAGAAGTCTGCTGATTGATTTGCATCTGTTGAGCCTGACTCATTTGCAGAGTTGCCGAATTAGCGGGAACTGATGGAGGTCTCGAAGGCGTCGAGCCGGGAACAAAAGGACCGCTCGAACCTTGACCCCTCGGTATGTTGTACCCGGGGCTACCGTGACCTCCGGGGCTTCCGTACGGCGAGTATTGTTGCTTGTAATTTCCCATCATCGACGGATTAGTCGGAGTTTTCGGACCTTGCGGACTTTGCGTTTGATTGCTCATTTGCTGCTGGTGCATGGCTGCTGCTGCTGCTGCTGCCGCCTGCATTCTTTTCTGCATTTCAATGTTATTATTACCCGTCTGAAAGTTTTGAGTTTGAGTTGCACTAAACATCACTTCTTGTTTCACGTCTGGTAACGACTGTCCATTTCCTGCATTATTCGAACTTTGGCTTTGATTGCTAAAATTTTGAGAACTAGGAGGGGGAATGTTTTTATTAATAAACTGTCCCGAACTTGGAGGAGTGTTCGTCGAACTCGGACTGTTTATGTAATCACTATTCGAATTGAATTGGTAATCACCGTATGGAGATCTTGGATTTCTATTTCCGGGAAAACTCATTCCCAACTGCGTCTTGTGCTGGTGTTGTTCCGCCATTTGTTTCAACGTTTGAGCAGCCGGACTGAGTTCCGTCTTTCCAAATTCCAGGCTACTGTACGAAGGGATTCTCGATTTTCCCATTCCGTTCGGATCGTATTGACCCGTAGTATATTGTACGTTGTTGTTTCCGGCGTTCTTATTAACGTCAATCAAATGTTGCTGATGAATTTGAATGCCTTCCTTACTGTCCGTTTCGACTTTCATTTGATTTGTCGTCGTGATCGATGTGACCACATTGTGACCCCCGTTTTGATTTTCGTTTAAACCGTGCGTCAGAGCGTTTATATTTGGTTTGTGCTCGTCAAAATCAAAATCCTTCATAAATTCCGGATGAAAATCTGATATTTCAGAAATGAGATCTTTAAAAGCATCTGAAGTGATGATTTCGTCGCCGCCTTCGTCACCGATAAACTCCGAAAATCCGGGAAAACTCGCACCGTTATTCTGAGCGTCTTTTTCCAAAGCCGCGGCACACTGTTCCAAATCCACAAACTCACTGTCCGGTTCTTGTTTGCACTCAATCAAATTACCAATGTCCACGCAATTGGAAGTCCGTTGGGATTGATTCGATGGATTCGAATTGTTTTGTGTGTCCGCCGTCGATTTGGGCGAACTCGTTCCTCCCATATCACTTTTAACACTGGCGTTCGTTAAGGCTTTAACCGTCACATTCGTCGATATTTGCTGGGGTTGAGAATTGGCCGCAGAAGTCGTGAATTCCAATTGTTGCACTATTTCAACTGAAAATTTCGTTAAACTCTCTTTCGGCCGGGATGCGTTTCCGGGTGTTCCGCCACTCCCGGTCCCGGTCCCGCCTCCGCCTCCTCCCCCACCACCTCCACCTCCTCCGCCGCATTGAAGCTTGGGTCCGGTATCACCGTATTCTCCGGGTCCATCTAATTCTTCTGCAGATCTTTTCAAATATTTTTGCTGCTGTAAAGAAAAACAAAAAAAAAAAAAATTCAAATACGTTGCAACGATTGATAAAAAAAAATAATAATAATAATAATAATAATTATCACCATCACGAATCGATAAAAAATAAGTTCATCATCATCATCATCATCATCACTTTATATCATTACATATATTTTTCTTCTGCTTCGAACATTTTTTTTTTTTTTTAACCGCAAATGTTTGCTTGCTTGCAATCGAATAATTGTGCCACACACACACACACACACATATCTACGTGATAACCGATACAGAGATAAGCTCACATAACCAGACGGAAATTGCATTATTACAACAATTATCGCAATCGACCTAATAACGATGCAAAAAAAAAAATTCCCTCAGACGAAACAACAAAAAAAAAAAAAGAACAACAACAACAACCAAGTCAACAAGTGAATGGGGGAAAAGAGAGAGAGAGAAAGAGAGAGAGATAAATGATGATACACTCTTGAATCTAATAAGAATAAAGAGCGAGAATAATAATAATAATAAAAAAATCCGGTACAACCAATTAATAATAAATTTACATAAGATTTATATTAATTTAAAAAAAACAAAACAATGAAAATCTTTCGTCGATTTCGTCGTACGTATCATTATTATCATTATTATAATTAATTTTTTTTTTAAACAAATGAATAACAAATTAACGGGAAAAACAAGGTCGAAAGAAAAAAAAAAAGAAAAACAACTAGCGGGAAAAATGAAAAAAAAAAAAGAAAAAATCCGATTACACAAACCGGCAAACAGGTAAATTCGAACCTGTTCAAGGCCGAAAACGATCGAAAGAGAGAGAGAGAGAGAAAGAGAGAGAGAGAGAGAGAAAGAGAGTACAATCGTGCGTGTGTGACGAACGAAAAGATGAAGAGAGAGAGAGAGAAAAAAAATTTACGCGTTTTAATTGGAAAGTTATTGCGTAAGAAAAACGAAAGAGAAAGAACAAAGAGGAAAGAAAGAAAGAAAGAAAGAAAACGAGGAAAATGTGTGTGAGAGAGAGAGAGAGAGACGGTACATTTAAATAAAATGAAAATGATGCTGGATATACACACATTTGAGAGTTCATCACATTAATAAACTTTTCCAAAAATTTTCAAACGGATCGATAATACGCGTTGTTGTGATTAAAAAAGCCCCCCCGCGTTTTTCTTTCTTTTTTTCCCATTTAAATTTTTATGCTGGAGATTATAAATAAATAAAAAAAAAATTTCTAGAAATTTCAAAATGACGGCCTCTCCTTCCTCCTCCCCCCGTGAAAATAAATAAAAGTATAAATACTGGAGAAAATCAAAAAAACGAATACTTTCCCCCCTAGTTCGGTACATATTCTCTCTCTCTCTTAATTTTCCACTCGTTTTCCAAAAAAATAAAAATATATATATAACGATGACGATGACGATGATAATAATAATAAAATTTTCTTTCTTTTCCTTTTTTTTTTTCATCCCGTGTACGGGAATAATAAACATTTGCCGTTGGAAAATCGGAAAGCCGAGGATGGAAGGTCAATCGCCATAGGATTTTATACAATTTGCGCAAGCTCGAATTGTGAAAAACTTTTTTTTTCCCTCTCTCTCTCTCTCTCTTTCTCTCTCTCCTTTTCACTTAAACAAATGTTTTATTCTTTTGAATAAAATATTTTCTTTTTCTTTTCTTTTCTTGTCCCACGACCGGAAAAGGAAGGGGGGGGGGAAAAAAATTTACGCGCTCACACACACACGAATTCATACCAACACACGTACATATTACTTATATTTATATTTTTTTAACGGTGTTCGTTTTCGCATTTTCGGACAAAACAACGCACAAACAAACAAAGGAAAAAAGGAAAAACATCAAAAAATTTCAAAAACTTTTTTTTTCCTTTTTTCCTTTTTGATTATACTAACTAAGAAAAAGGTTGAATAATTTTTTTAAAAATCAATCAATTATCGAATTCAAATTTATTTCAAAATTAAAAAAAAAAACAAACGAAACAAGATTATCACATCAATCACAGCCATAGAATATTCTAGAAGATGAAAAAAAAGGGGAGAGGGAGGGGGAAAGAAAAGAAAAAAAATAAGAAAAAAAGAAAAAATTTCGACGTGATTTTCATTTTTTTTTTTTTTTTTTTTTTTGATTTATTTTACTTCTTTTTTCTTTTCCCTTTTTGGTAAAAATTATTCCCTCCTCCTACTCCTCCTCCTATTTTTCCTTTTAATTTTTACCTTTTTCTCTCTTCCAATTTAGGTACGCAGAAAAACTTTCGACAAACAAAGGAAAACATTCATTTTTTTTTTTTTACCTTCCAATCGCGATAAATGTGCGTGCGTAAGCTAAACACGAGAAAATGTCATCGTCCTTTTCTTTTTTTCAGGTACACCACCAACGTACCTTTTTAAACTCGCCAGGGATTTTCCGAATAAAACAATTAACGTTTTTTCTGCGAATTATTCTCACTCTCGAAGAATGAGAAACATCTGGCGACCGAAAAAACAGGTTAGTACTCGGGAAAAGGGAGGAGAGCGAGGGCGTGAGAGAAAGAGAGATAGAAAAGCAGAAAAAAACGTCTTTGATTATCATTATCATTATTAATATTTTTTTCCTAAGCGAACTCTCGGGAAAAAACAAAAAATGAAGTCAAAAATTTACATCTGCCAAACATGAGTAGTAAATTCGACGTCAAAATATGACGTCATTTCAATGATTCATTCATTCATTCATTCATTCAATCATTCACTCGCTCGACACTCACATCTCAAGCCCGTCATTGTTTTTTCTCCTTAAGTAATAATAATAATAATAATAAGTTTGTCGTATTGTCCAATTCACATAAGGAATGAAAAATTTTCACGGGAAAATCTTACAGGACAGAAAAAGAATGACTCAAAGGAAAGAAAAGGAAAAAGGAAAAAAGAGAGAGAGTGAAATACGAATTTCGCCACTTGTAAAAAGTATTTTTCCTTCAGGTTCCAGGTATTTTCGTCTACGACATCGGAACCTTCTAGAAAGAAGAGAACGAGGCGAAAGAGAGAGAGAGCGAGAAAGGAAAAAAAATTTTTATCAAAGGAAAATTTCAAAATTAATTTAATTCCTTTGACCAACGGATATTGCCTTTTATCAAAAAAAAAAAAAAAAAAAATTCATTTCGAAAAATATATACAATATAAATTTGATCGAAACAAATTTTTCCTTTCTTCTTCTTATTCTCCTTCGCAATTTCAAAATGGCGGAGATTCGGAAAATAAAAAAAAAAAAAAAGAAAAGCCATATAATGCGGTTTTCCCCGTTTGAATTTTTCACATTGATTTTCTCTCATTCTTTTATTATTTATTATTTGATACAAGGTTTGAACCTGGCGACGGTTAGTTATTTTCATTTTATTTCAAAAATTTCGAACGCGATAAATAAATTTAACAACAAAAAAAAAAAATTCTGAACAGAGTTCGAGTTCTGAACAAAGTGGAAAAGCGGTCTTTTATAAAAAAAAAAAAAGCTAAACTGAACAACAACTTAAACCTTTCGAATACAAAAAAAAAAAAAAACAAATTTCGAATAAATCCGCCCCTAAATGTTTTCATAAAAAAATCAAACGTTTCGGAGAGGAGGGAGGGGATGAAGGGGAAGGGAAGAATGAGGGGGGGGAATCAGTCACGGATCGAGGGGAGGGAGGGGGAGGAAAACAAAAATTAATTTCATTCAAACATTCGCAGCCGCCATATTTAAATATCGGACGAATCATAGATTTTAACGCGTTCGCCAAAAAAAAATTTTTATTTCAAAAATTACGCACACGCACACTCACACACACCTACGCACGCCCGCACACGCACAGAGAGACAGACGGGAAAATCCTTTTTCAAATCGTAAAACACCCGATCGGGGGTGTGGGGGGGGGTAGGAGGGAAACGTAGGCAAAATATTTTAACCGCAAAATTTTCCTGCAGCGCATAGCTTTTACCCATAACAGTCAGTCAACAGCCCCCCACATTTTTTTTTTTTTTTTTTTTACAATTTATAATCATTTAAATTTCAAATTTAAATAAAAATCTTAAACAATCGTTTTTTCCTCCCTACCCCTTCCCCATTCGATTGGGGGGGGGGGGCAAAAATTTTTAAATAATCGTACCTACTACTACTACCCCCTCTAAAAATAATAATAATAATAATAATAATACGGGAAAAAATATAAAAAATGAAACAAAAAAAAAAATGTCTCCACAATTCCTAGACGTAATAATAATAATTGAAAATTACAAAAAAAAAAAAAAAAAAAAAAAAAAAAACAAATTAAAATCGACAAATTGTTTGGATTATTCCCTTGCGTGTGTGCGTGCGTGCGTGCGTGTGCGTACCTTCAAAACCTGAAAGTGGTTAAATATGAGTATACGTACGAAGCAGAAGACGCAAACATACATGCACACACGCGCGCGACAAACTTAACCAACAGTAAAATTTACAAATTAATTATTTTTTATTATTATTGTTTTAGTAAAAGAGAGGGAAACGAGAGAAAGAGGAGGGGGGGCACGAAGAGAAGTGAAGGGAAAAGCAGAAAGGGGGAAGAGAGAGCGAAAGAGAAAGAAAGAGAAAGAGAAAGAAAGAGAAAGAGAAAGAGAGAGAGAGAGAGAGAGAAAACTATTTAATTAATTTTAAAGCGACATTTACAAAAATTCAATTCTCTCTCATTTTACTGAGTATAATTTTTTTTTTTTTTTTTTAAATGAATATTGATTTTCTTGTTTAAGGAAACAACCCACAAAATAAATTAACCGTCGTGAATATGTCGTCGTCGTCGTCGTCGTCGTCGTCGTTATTCTTTGTGTCGCCATTTGTACAACGAAAAATAATAATAATAATAATAATAATAATAATAATAATAATAATAATTTTTCTTACACTTTGCAATAACGTCTAAATATTTGCTTTTTTGTACCTTCCTTTCCTTTCCTTCTCATTTTTACACGCGTTATATGTTTTAAAAGAAAAAATTCGAGTAAAACGAAAACGAATTAAATTTTTACAAAAAAGGGGGGAGAGGGAAGAGGGAAAATAAAAAATGATAGAAAGAAAGAGAAAAAGAAAAAGAGAAAGAAAAAATTGAACGTGGAAAGAGTTTGAATAAAATTTCTAATTTAAGATGAATTTAAATCAACAGGGCGGAGTTTTTTGGTCGTCGACTGCTTTTTAGTTGCTTTCCTAATAAATTTATTGATTTCATTTTATCATCATCATCATCATCATCATTATTATTATTATTATTATTAAAACCCAAATAATCTTTCGCCATTTGAATATTTCAACG